CGCGACGAGAGGTGAGCGGGGACCGGGGCTGCCGAGGGGACCGGGGGTCGCCGTCGCCCGCCGGTGCTGAGGCGCCCCGTCGTCCCTCCCCGGGCCCCAGGTACCTGGCGCGGGCAGAGGAGCTGACGGCCACCGACACCGAGGACTCGACCCTCAATTACGGGGTGGTCGTGGACTGCGGGAGCAGCGGGTCCCGGGTCTTCGTCTACTTCTGGCCCCCGCACAACGGGAACCCCCACGACCTGCTGGACATCAAGCAGATGAGGGACCGGAGCAGCCGCCCCGTCGTCAAGAAAATTAAACCGGGTCGGTGCCAGCCCTTTCCGCTCCCGGCCCCGAGGCCCCCCGCGCACGGGACAGGGACGGCCGCTGCCGGCGCGGCAGGCCCGGCCGGTTCACAGCCTCCCTTCCCCGGGCAGGCATCTCCGTGGCGGCGGCGGCGGCCCCGGAGCAAGCTACGCCCTACCTGCGTCCTCTGCTTCGCTTCGCGGCAGCCCACGTCCCAGCTCAGAAGCACAAGGAGACTCCGCTTTACATCCTGTGCACGGCAGGCATGCGGCTGCTGCCCGAGAGGCGAGTTCGTCAGCCCTTGTCGGGGCGAGCCAGGGACCCGCTGGGGTCCCTCAGCCACGAGAAGGGGGGAGACGGCTGCCTCATCTTGAGCCTAATGGGAGAATTGGGAATCCTGGGGGTGGGGATTGAGAGAGGAAAGGGTGCGTTGTTGGGGCGAAGGGCGAGGGCTGCAGGAGGAGGGTTTGCGCACACTGGGAGGGAGCCCAGAGGAGACGCTTTTTACTGAAGTCTCAAACAAATAGATCTCGTTGCTCGTCTCCAAAGCGCACTGGTTGCAGCAGCAGGGCTCCTGGGGCTGGACGTGGGGCGTATTGCAGCGGGATTCCCGCTCCTTCCTGCGCTCCTGCAAAGGAGCATCGCTGGCGAAGGTCCCTTAGCATCTGTCCCTCTCCCATGTCCTTGCAGGCAGCAAGCTGCAATCCTGGAGGACTTGGTGAGAAACGTGCCCCTGGAGTTTGATTTCCTCTTCTCCAAATCACATGCAGAAGTGATCTCAGGGAAACAGGAAGGTAGGAGCTTCTGTGAAGCACTGCTTGGTTCCCTTTAGCGTGTTGTCGTAATGACTCTTTCTGTCTTGTGCAGGTGTCTATGCTTGGATTGGCATCAACTTTGTCCTGGGCCGGTTTGATCACGAGGACGGTGAGTCTGGCTGCTTGCAGGGCAGCTGGGAGGGTCTGAGCAGAGCCCAGCTGGAGCTTGCCCTGGCGCTGGAGCTAAGAGCAAGCTCTGGAGCAGGCAGGGTCTGCCCCTTGGACCAGGCAATGTCTGACCGCAGCCATGAGCGTGAAACTCTCCAGAACCTGGGACCTGGAGGGGCACCTGCCCTGGTCACAGGAACAAGTCCCTGTGTGAGGGGGGCACCTGCAGCGTTTTGGGAGAAGAACCAGGGAGAGAGGGTTTGTAGTAGTGTTCCTGTAGTGGCTTCCGGTGCTGGATGCTTTGGGGGAACCTACAAAGCTGGGGGGTGGCCAGCCCCATATGCCAGGACCTGCTGCCCTGCAAGTGATCCTTGGGGGCTGCTTGCAGGGGTGGAGGAGCCCCATGAAGCTGCTGGGGGGGGTGATAGTGGAAGGGAGGAGATGCCCCCCAGGCCCTGCCCCTTGCTGATGTGCTGCTGTGGGTTGCAGAGGAGGATGCGGTGGTCACTGTAGCGCTGGGGGACCAGGGAGAGTCCCTGGTTCGGAAACGAACAGTTGGGATCCTAGACATGGGAGGCGCTTCCCTGCAGATCGCCTACGAAGTGCCCGACTCCGGAGCTTTCTCCCCGCAGCAGGTGCGTATCTGGCTGGCTGGCCAGCCCCGAGAACAGCCCCTGCCTTCCCTGGGTCATTGCTGATCACGGACCTCTCTGCACCCCCAGGAGGAGGCTGCTAAGAGCTTGCTGGCGGAATTCAACCTGGGCTGCGATGTGCAGCACACTGGCCACGTGTACCGCGTCTATGTCAACACCTTCCTGGGCTTCGGGGGCAATTTTGCCCGGCAGCGCTACGAGGAGCTTGTGCTGAACCAGACCTATGCGCACAACCGGTATTGCTGCCTTGCCTAGCGGTGTCCCTGCTAGGGCATTGCAAAATGGGGTGCTGCTTCCTTCACGCCACCCTCTCCCCGTTGGATTTGCCCCAGGAGCCGCCCGTGGCGATAACAGCTCCCACAGCCATGCTGGCAGCAGCAGGTGCCCGGGCTGGCACAGGGTGCACGGGTGCTGCCCTTTTCTGAGCCCGGCAGGCGTTATCAGTGCTGCAGCTCCCTGCCTTCCCCCTCCTTCTCCCCTCGCGGCAGGCTGCAGGGAGGCCCCTCTGGTGGCTTTCAGCTTTTCCTGCTCTGACTTTCCCTCCTTCTCCAGCACTGATTCACTCAGCACATCTTTCCATCGCATCCCCACCTCGAGCTCTCTGTCTCCTGTCTCCCCTTCCCAGAGCGCTACGTGAAGCTGTCACCAGAGGCGGAGAGGCTTGGTGCCCAGGTACTCCTGTGCCGGGAGCAGACCCTGCCTCTAGATCCCCAGGGGCTGCACAGGGGTGCAGATCCATGCGAGCTGGTCAGGGTGGGCTGTGCCTTGTTGCACCCCGCAGGCGCTCGGGGCATGTGCCTGCGGGTCAGCGTGAGAGATCTGGCAAGTTTGGCCTCAGCAGGAGGTGCCAGGGTGGGTGCCAGCGCTGCAGGGTACAAGAGAACACAGCGTGGTCTGGTGCGGCGGGTATTTGGATGCGGGGCAGCACTAGACTAAGCTTTTTGGGGCTGGTACAAGACCCGTCCCCCCATGCAATTGCCTTTCCTTCCTGGCCTGTTTTCCAGCCTGCATGGCCAGCAGACAGGGCTGAGCCCCGAGACGCCCTTCCTGGACCCCTGCCTGCCTGTGGGGCTGGAGGACACAGTGATGAGGGGCGGCCAAACCCTGTTTGTGCGGGGGCGAGGGGACTGGCCGGCCTGCGCGGAGCTGCTGCAGCCCCTCCTGGCTGGGCCCAACAGCAGCCAGGCCTCCCTGGTGAGGGCATACAAAGCACCCATCGACTTCGGCAACAGTGAGTTTTACGGCTTCTCCGAGTTCTTCTACTGCACTGAGGACGTGCTGCGTCTGGGGGGCCGCTACAGTGCCCCCACCTTCACCTCTGCTGCCCAGGTGGGTGCTGCCGCAGCCCCGGGGGCTGGGGAGCCGCCATTGTAGGGGCTGTTTCTCTGCTCTGAGCCCTGACTTCTCTGTCCCTCAGGAGTACTGCAGCCAGCGATGGGAGGTGCTGACCCAGCGCTTCCGCGGTGGCCTCTACTCGGCACACGCTGACCAGCACCGGCTGAAGTAAGCGGCTTTGCTGGGGGTGTGCCATGGCTGGACCTCCTGGGGGGCTTTGGCTGGGGTGAGGGACCGTGATGCAGGTGGCAGCATCTGGCTGACGCTCTCGCGTGCTGTGCCTGCAGGTATCAGTGCTTCAAATCAGCCTGGATGTACCAAGTCCTTCACCAGGGCTTCCGCTTCCCCCTGGACTACCCCAGCCTGCGCACGGCCCAGCTGGTGTACGACCGGGAGGTGCAGTGGACGCTGGGAGCCATCCTCTACAAGACGCGGTTTCTGCCACTCAGGTACCATTGGCTCGCTGATGGCATCGCTCGGGGAAGGGTGGTTGGGGAGGAGCAGGAGTTGCCGCACTAGGCGAGGGCTGTGCCACCCCAGCAAGGGGAGCGGCAGCACGGACCGTGGTAGTACCCCATGGCATCTCACGGCCAGTCCTGACTCTCCGCAGGGATCTCCGGCAGGAGAGCATCCGGCAAGCACACGCCTCCTGGCTGCGCCTCTCCTTTGTCTACAACCACTATCTCTTCTTCGCCTGCATCCTGGTTGTAGCGCTGGCCATAGTCCTCTACCTCCTGCGGCTGCGCCGCATCCACCGCCGGCAGCTGCGTGCGGCCCAGCTCACCCTGCTTTGGCTGGACAAGGTGGTGGTGCCGCCGAGCCAGGGAAACGGGCCATGACACCGGTGGTACCCACTGTGCGGTTGCACCAGCAGAACCAGGGCTGGCTGACAGCCTGGGCTCCGAGGGCTTGGACTCTTTCTTAAAGACCATCTCAACTCTGCACCCTATCATCTCCACATCAGAACCAGAGCCTGTGGGCTGAGGCAGCTACAGACACCGGAACTTTCCTCTCTGCCTCACCCCAGTTCTAATCTTTGCATTCCTTGGCCTCCGGCCTTTGCCTCGCTACGTGGTGTAGAGCAAAGTCCTCTACTGCCAGCGGGCTCAAAGCTGCAGCCCTCGCAGCTCCCTTAGATAAGCAGGACGCTACCACTGAGGTGGCCAGCCCAGGGCCAGGGCCTGAAGTACTGGGTCACCCCATGACTCAGCCACCAGTTTGCAGAGCAGGCTGGTGATGTGCTGTAGCTCATCACCCAGGGTGGCCTTTCTGCAGTCCCTTACTAGCCCACAGGCTAGAGAATAGCAGTCACCAGCGAAGTTACTGCAGGAACCAGGTGAGCCGCGAGTTCCACTGAGCTGCTCTGCCCAGCCTGGTCCCTCTTGGGGTATTCCTTAAGAGGTGCCCTGCTCTTTGCCAAGTCTTCCCTTCCCAGGACAGTCCTGTGGTCCTAGCCAATGCCCCAGGCTCAGCACTGAGGGCTCAGGGATTGGTTCCTAAGGCACCACCAAAGTCAGCTACCCTTTCCTTTCATACATTCCCTCCTGGGCATGTCTGCCCCGTGGCGTCCCACACGTTAATCGGGCACTAGTGCTGGGACCTGTGGTTCTCTCCCCCGTGAGCGCAGGCTGGGCCTGCCCACAGGGGAACCATCTCACTCCAGCCCAGCTCACTGCCCCAGGGCAGGTCTGGGCTGGGCACACAGGCATGAGCCTTGCTGCCCTGGGGCTGGAGCCCCCAGTGAAGTGTCACTTTTTACTTGAACTCATCTGTTCCCATTCCTGTAGCAATAAACAAACCCCTTGAGCCATCCAGCACTGGTCTTGTTTTCTAGTGACCACCACCCCAGCAGCAACAGCTCCTGGATAGCAGTATGACTGGGGGCCAGCGCTCGTCTGCACAGCATTGCTTCGTGCCACTGCAGTGGGACGACAAAGCTGCTTTCTTGCCAGGCGTTCTCTGCCCTTCCAGCAGGACAGCTGAGCTCACCTCCCAAGGTGGTAACAGCAAGGGAAGCTCTGATCCAAACTGAACTGTTGTGAACCTTGGAGACAGCATCCTTTGCTGCCCTCCTCTCTTCCTAAGAGAAAAAGCCTGCCCACTCAGAACCCCTGGAAGGTGTTGCTCCATGTTTTTTACCTTATTCCCCACCTCAGCCTGAGCAAGGGGCCACTAAACTTCTCCAGCTGCTGCACAGCCACAGGGATGGCTCCAGCACAGCTGCCTACCACCAGACAGGCTGGGCAGGTACCCAAGTCTCCCTCTAGCACATACTGTTACGTACCTGTGACCCTCGTCACACAGGACAAGTGCACAGGTGGCATCAAGGATAAAACTTTCCATGCGCGAGCATGCTGCCAAGCTCCTGCTCAACAGCTGAGGATCCCAGCCTTGTTCTCATGGTGCAAGAACAGGGTTAGGGGGAAGGGAAAAAGTCTGAATAAAGCCAAGACTGCTCCCCAGCCTCAAAGCAGCAAGTGAATCTGCCTCCAGCATCACTTACTAGAAAAAGGATTTATTTCCACCACACAAATTTAACAAACACGGTCAGGTAAATAAATACAGATAAATTATGTGATAAATAAGGGGAAACAAAAAACACAACACCCTACTCGGTTCTTCTTGGAACCTGGACACAGGTTGGGTGGGTGATGGTACCCAGACACTACTGCAGCACCCTCACTGCTGAGGCAGGAGGAGATGCAGCACCCCTTTAATCCCCTCCAGCAGGCTGCCAAGCAGCAGAAGCCTCTGTCCTGCACCCCAGCACCTCCCTCATCACACCTCAGAGGGTCTGCATGTTCCTCCAGCGTCAGCCCTCCCTTCTCACACCCACAGCCAGCATCTGTCTTAGCAGGGACCACCCCCACCACAGGGGACTGACCATACAACAGAGGATGCTACGGGCTCCTGCCTTCTCACGCAGAGGTGCGGCCGGTGCCTGAAATGACCAGGAATATGGTAACTAGTTGGGCAGCTTGGGCTGGAAGCAGGGGTTTCACTTGGCGGGGCTACGGCTGAGTGCACTGGAGGGAGCAGGGCAAGCACGGCAGGGACAGGAGCTGCTGGCACGACACACAGATCTCTCTCAGGACGGTGCTTAGTGTCAGTGACTACAGCACTAGGCCAGCTGAGGAGATCTCTCCCTGGTAGTGTGGTTGCTCCCAGGGCCAGGTGTACCAGGCCCTCGTCCCAGGCGGGGCTGCTGCCTGCCATGCTCAGGGGCCCAGCCGTCACTGGTCCAGGTTGCAATGCTCAGGGTGCACTGGGGCAGCGGGTCCAGCCTCTGTCCCAGCACGTCTGGGGGCTGCCTGGTACGGGAGAGTAGAGGCTGGAACAGCAGCAAGAGCTGGGGCAGGGAGAAAGGAGGAGAAGTTAGCACCAAACTGCACCCACAAGGTAGCCCCCACAAACCTAGATAACCACAGGCTCAGAGAGAAGGGCTGTTTGCTCAGGCCCAGTGCAGAGCCAGCAGCCCCATGCCGAGACCAGCTCACCACAGCCACAACGCACAGAAGCCAAAGCAACTCCCACCCAGCGAGGACCATGCTGCAGCTCCCTCTCTCCCTCTGCAACCAGCCACAGGCAGGCAAGCGGGGACACCTCTGCCACCCCAGCCCTCTGCCCACTCACGGTGATAATTTTGGGGGGGGGTGTCTGTTCAGGCGCCGGGTCCTGAGGACTGCTCACTCCCAGAGGAAGCGCACGTACCAGATGGTCTCGTTCTTCAGCTGCGGCCCAAACAGGGGGTTGGCCTGGGCCAGGATGGCGATGAGCCAGCTGCAAAGGGACCCAACCTGCCATCAGCCCTGGCAGCACGGGGGCAGGGACCAGGATCCCGGGATGCTGCTGCCTCAAGGGGCTGGCAGAGAGACTGCTGCCCCGGGGGGTGAAGTGCCCGGGAGGGAGGGAGGCAGGCTGCAGCCCGGGGGCTGTCCCATTCATCCACCGACAGGAGGCTGGGCAGCAGCCACCGGGCCCGGTGAAGCCCCACGGAGGATGGGGGAGTTGGGGGGGCGGTACGGGAGGCCGGTTCGCGGTACTCACAAGAGGTAGCAGCACACGGCGGTGGTGACCAGCATGGTGATGATCACCCTGCGGAGACACCGGCGTGAGGCCCGGTCACGAACCCCCCCGTCCCCGGTATCCCCTCGGGGCCCCCACTCACCCGCGGTTCGGACCCTTGGGCACGAACCAAGGGGCGGCGATGCCCACGAGGCCCCAGAAGGCGGAGAAGAGGACGACCGGCAGCGCGAAGCTGTGCGCCGTCATGGCCGCGCCGCTCCGACAGACCGACCGCCGCCGCAGCGGATGCCGCTCTGCCCACTGCCGCGCGCGACGGCCAATCCGCGGGCGGAGCGCACGGCGCTGGCGCCGCCGCCGCCTCCCATTGGCAGAAACGCGAAGCCGGGCGTACGCCGGCCCGACGCCAGGGGGCGCCAAAGGGAGCCCGCCCTCCCCTCCCCGCCGCGGCGGCGCGGCTCGGCGCCCCCCCTCCCC